CCCTCATACAAAAATCTAAAATACTCAACATCCAAAACTTCCTGAGTACAGGCATGTACAGACACAAGTGGAAAATTCCACATCTAACCTCATGTGACAGTGAAAACATGCAAGAACACTAAAACTATTGTTTAAGTTACATTCAAGGACTAGAGATGTGGCTCAGTAACAGAACTCTTGCCTAACATGCATGAGAAGTAATGTATATATGAAACATAAATGAATTTTGTGTTCAGACTTGGGTGTCATCCTCAAGATATCTCATGTGTATGCAAATATTCTAAAATCCAACTCTGAGTGTGGTGGTACATGCCTGTGATCCCTATGCTAAGGCAGCTGAGGCAGGAGGATTACTGTAAGTCCAAGGTCAGCCAGGGCTACATAGTGAGTTCAAGGCCAGTGAGAACTTGTATAGCAAGACCCTGCCACCCAAAAAAAAAAAAATCCAAAGCACTTGTGATCAAATGCATTTCAATATTTTAATTAAGTGATACTCATATTACTATTCAAAAGGGAAACCTTTTTCAGGATTTTGTACACACGAGGTTAAGCAACTGACCATTGAGTTATGCTTCTAGTCCTATTTTAATACTAATATTCTTTTTAAATGCAATATTTAAAAAACTCTTAAAAGCAGAAAAAAAAAGAGAAAATCAGCCAAATCCTATCACCCCAATGAGTTTCTTTCCAGTTTTATTTTCTCTATATAGTTTTTCCTCTCCTCCTTTTTCTTTTCTTTTTTAAGAGTAGGAAAATTTACTGGAGAAAAGGAATGGGGAATAGGGAGGGCTCCCAAATATGTTGTCCTCCTTTCTTTATTTTTTATATAACTGAATTCTACTACATACATAATTTTACACCATTTACTTTAAAATTTTATTAGTTATTTTCTTTACAGTTATAATATTAGAGCTAACTTAAAATGTATTAGGGCATTGTATTACTATTTAACTTTCAGTGTACACCACATTATACAGAATTGCTAACAGATGTTAGGCAGCAGCAACACACTTGGGCAAGGTCCTCTGTTTCTTGTCTATAAGTGGAGTTAAAGAACCTGTAGAGCTGGCATAAAGGTGCACAGCTGTAATCCTAGCACACTGGGAGATTGAGGCAGAGGATCATCAGTGCAAACCCAGCTTGAGCAATTTAACAACTTAGCGAGATGCTGTCTCAGAAAATGGACTGCTGTCTCAGAAAATGGGGGAGAGAGAGAGAGAGACAGAGAGAGAACATAGAGGAGTTTTGTTTTGTTTTGTTTTGTTTTGTTTTGTTGAGACAAGATCTCTCTGTGTAGCCCATGCTGGCCCCAAATTCCTGATTCTGAGTGCTGAGATTACAGATGTGTACTACAGCAGCCAGCCAAGAAAATTCAACAGGGTTGTTTTTGTTTTTTTCAGTGCTACAGATTGAGCCTAGAGACCTGTGAGTGCTAGGCAGTGGTTCTACCACTGAGCTACCTCCATAGCAAGAAAGCATTTTATTTAACATGCACAACATTTAAGTTTTTGTTCTGTTTCCTTTTGTTGTTGAAACAGTGTCTCACTATGTAGTCCTGGCTGTCTTGAACTCACAGTGATGCTCTTTCCTTGCCTCCTGAGTACTTTGTCTTGAAAATAAGATGTAGCAACAAAGAGTCCAGATGTCTACAGACTAGCTCTCAGCTGAGGCCTGGTAGCAAATTGTGTTCCTATTAAATGGCACATGTCCTTTTTCTCATCACCCTGTTATCCCTGACAGCTCCACTCGCTTGTTACCGGCTGGCTTGCTCTTAAAATGAACTGGAAACCTCTGGGTTTGTTTATTAAAATGCTCAAGTGAGTCGATACACATTCCATTTTCAAGTGGTCTGTTTAACACTGTTTTTTCTCAAATCACAAATTTTCTCAAGTCACAAATTTTACTTTCCTGTGAAATGCATTAATAAAACATTTAAAAAGTACTTCTATTTCACAGATAAATGATAATTATGCCAAATAATTACAAAGTAAAAAAAAATAGTTTAAAAAATGACTACAAAGTCAAGTTCATATATTTGTACTTCCAGGCCCATATAACTCATCAAAACTCTGAACTTCAGGTATCTGTTATGCTCAGTAAGATAGTGTTGCATTGGGGGCTGGGGATTTAGCTCAGTGGCATAAGCGCCTGCCTTGCAAGCAGGCAGTCGTGAGTTCGATCCCTGGTACCGAGAAAAAGGAAAAAGACCAAAAAAAAAAAAAAAAAAAAAAAAGATAGTGTTGCATTACAAGAGAAGGGGGAGCTTATGGTGGCACATGCCTGTAATCCCAGCACTGGGAGGCTGAGGCAGGAGGATCACAGATTCAAACCTAGCCTGTCTCAAAATAAAAGTGGGCTGGGGCTGGAGGTTTAGCTCAGTGGCATAAGCGCCTGCCTTGCAAGCAGGCAGTCGTGAGTTCGATCCCCGGTACCGATAAAAAGGAAAAAGACAAAAAAAAAAAAAAAAAAAAAAAAAAGTGGGCTGGGGATATAGCTCAGTATAATACACCAGAAGGTCAGGTTCAATCTCCAGGACACAGCATGGAAGAGGGAAATAGATAAAAGGGACTAAAGTATTACTGTCATGCCCCCAAATTCCCTCTGGCTCTTACTAAAGGAAAAGGTACTATATGAAAAAGTCATTCCTTAAAATCTCTGTTTAGACACTTTGTTGACAGAATTCTCAAAGGAGGGGGGAGGGGAAGGAAAGACTGACAATATCAGAATTAATCAGTTAAATCCATCAAACGGCTATCAGAGTTCTTGTACTCTGAACTTTAAAGGAAAACATGCAAATCTTAATCACTGATGGTATCTTTTGTATGTAGTCTAAAAGTATGTACAGAATAAAATGTAGCTGTGAGCATTTTCTGTAAGTGAACCAGAAATGGTGGACAGGAAATTGCATTAATGGAGGAGAGTAGGCATTATTTTACAATACGTTCTCATCGTCCCCAACACCTGTTCAGCTGGGAGGTTAGACTCATGGCTGTACCTAATCCATAAGGGGCTGAAATGTGGGCGTGCACCAGAGGCCCAGCTAAGGTTGGGGGGGCCTGAACTGCAGGAAAGGGGCATGCTATGCTCCACGGCGGCCCCGTGCCATGTGCAACTGTAAAGGGCAGTGGAGCCAGGACACCCCGTCTCCTGTGCTGGGCTCAACAGAGAAACTATTTTAAAGATTGTTATTAGCTGTATTTATAGAAGCATACCTCACTATTTTTTGAGGTCTAATCTATCAGTAAAAGTTTTATAGGCTTCTAATGCCATATAATAGTCGGCCTAGCAGTTGATAAGCATTGCCAATGACCTTTTAGTTTTTCAATTCCAGTTTCTATTGTAATGACCTTTGTAAAGAAGTTACAAAACTCGGCTGGTCTGATGGCAGTGGGTTATCAGAACTTATTAACATTAGTGTCACTAAAGTTGGTATACCACCCCCACCCCCACTGCTAAATTTGAGTGGCTTTAAAAAAAAAAAGAAGTTACAAAACTGATTAAGTGTGCAGATGTTACCAGAGGTGATAATGACTGATTTATCTATATTCAACTTTATCTTTATTTTTAATGATATTTAAATTTTTAATCTTACAGTATCTAGTTTTTAAAACAAGAGCACCATGCCTCAAAATGATGTGTCAGTCATGAATAAGGAAAAAAGTTTTTTTCTTCTTTTTTGTAGTACTAGAGATTAAACCCAGGAATTTAACACTGAGCTATATCCCTGGCTCTTTCAGCTCAAACTTGGTATCTTCCTGCTTCACCCTCCTAAGATGCTGGGATTATAGGCACACCTTAAGAAGTATTTTGTGAATCTAGAAATTGAACTTGAAAAGAAAAAGTTTCATATCTACTTAAAGCTATGTTTTAATTTTGGGCCACACTAATATAGAGTATTGCATACCCATAATCCCAACTACTCAGTAGGATAAGACAGGAGATTCCCAAGTTCAAGGCCAGACAGGAAAATTTAATGAGACCCTCTCTCGAAATTTAAAATAAAAAAGTATAGCTCAGTGGTAGAGTACCCAATAGAGGAGGAAAGAATTGAACAAACAAGGAGATCAGTTAAATCCACATTATGTGTCTCTTGAATATACTTTATTTTTGCACATTTTTCAGAGCTGTAATGATCTGTTACCATGTCCTCCCTGCATTCCTTAAGGGCAAGATCCATGTCTCACTTGCCTGTATAGTCTCAACAACTAGCCTAATACCTGACACTTGGTAGATAGCTATTAAACATTGATTTCTATGAATCAAATTAAACTAGAAACGCTTAGCTTAATATAAGAAGGCAGGCAGAGATGGTAGCCTTCACCTGTAATCCTGGCACTTGGGAGGTTGAGGCAGGAGGATTATCAAGTTAGCCTAGGTTACAATAGCAAGTACAAGGCCATCCTATACAATGTAGGAAGACCCTGATTCAAACACAGAAAAGGCACAGTGATTTATAATCTGTCTTTCAGATATTTAAAAGGTTCTCATGTTTAAGAGAGATTAAATTTTTTTATTTTTTGGTACCAGGGATTGAAGTCACAACCTCATGCTTACCAGGCAGGCACTTACGCCACTGAGCTAAATCCCTGGTAAGAGATTAAATTTTTTCTGTATGACTTCAGTGCACACAGAACCAATGAGTGGAAATGTTAGGAAGTCCCTAAGTGTTAAGAGTTGTTTAAAGTTAGATCTGAATCCCAGCACTCTAGGAAGCTAAGGCAAGAAAGAGCACCCCAAGTTAGAGCCTAGCCAGGTAATTTAGTGAGATCTTGTATCAAATTTTTTAAATAGTGTGTGCAGGGAGATCTGTGTTGTTCACAGTAAAGATGGTGGGTTCACAGTAACTAACAGGAAAAAAAAAATGAAATGGCTGTATTTTGAATTTTGGTTTTTTTTTTTTTTACTTTGTTGTAGATTTTGCATGTACACACATGTGCTTATTTTTGTTATTTTTCACAGAAATAAAAATACTAACTACCTTATATGATTTTTGTTCATAGTCAAGTTTATCCGAGAAGTGACACCATATATCAAGAAGCCATCCCTAGTATCAGATCTGCCATGGGAAGGTGCAGCTCCCCAGTCACCAAGCTTTAGTGGCAGTGAGGACTCTGGTTCTCCAAAACACCAGAACAGCACCAAAGACAGAAAAGTCATCCCCCTCAAAATGTGCTTTGCTGCTAGAAACCTAAGCATGCCAGATCTGGAAAACAGGTAAGTTGTACCTAACGTCATACTTTTAGCTTTTAACTTAAGGATTTGCTGTACTATTGTATGTCTCTGATTCACTTTTGAAATTTCATATTTAAAGTTTTTCACGTATCTGTGGTATATATGAGAAAATACTTGGACAGATGAAAGAAACTTATTGTTGGTTTCCCCTGGAGAATGAAATGATAGTAGAAGCTATTAATATTGTTTTTGTTGGGTTTCTTTTAAAAATGTAAGACATTGTAGAAATTACTTAGGTAATGTATGCTGCATCATATAAGAGCTGTACAGTTTGATCTTTTTCTTTCTTTTGGTACCAGAAATGGAGCTCAGGCCCTTGAGCTTGCCAGGTAGGTGCTATGCCACTGAGCTATGTCCCCAGCTACTTTGATCCATAAAGAAGTTCTAGGCCAGCCATGGTGCTGCATGCCCATAATCCCAGCACTCAGGAGGCTGAAGCAGAAAGATTGCTGGGAGTTTGAGGCCAGCCTGAGCTAATTAGTGAATTCAAGGTCACCCTGAACTATATAGTAAGATGATGTCTCAAAAATAAGAAAATAAATAGAAATTCCACTGTTTTGTCATAAAGTAAAAATTTAATTTTTTTGTTTTGCTCTGTTTTTTGTCTTCTTGAGACAGTTTCACTTTGCAGTTCGGCTGGCCTTTAACTCACTGTGTACCCCAGACAGGCTTTGGACTCACTGCACTCCTCCTGCCTCAGCCCCTTGAGTGCGCCACCACACCTGGCTAAAAATTTAATTTGTAAAGCAAGTAATCACTTCTGTTTTGTAAAACCATATTGTGCTAGGTGGAGTGACACATGCCTTTGGAGTAATCCCAGCTCTCTGGAGGCTGAGGAGAAAGATTTCTGTGAGTTCAAGATCAGCCTAGGCTACATAGTGAATTTAAGGCTAATCTGAAAAATAAATAAATAACTATTTCTTCACATTGGATACATTTGCATTGAGCCTTTGGTCTGTTAATCATGGACTTAAAAACACAATAAATAGGAACCATAGAGAAGCAATTAGAATAAGGAAACTGTGATAAAGAAGAACAGATTATAACTAAAATTGCCAACTGTCAGGCCAAAGACAGTAAAAAAGGCATAAAAAACTTTATTATAAATCATTTCTGGGAATAGATACCTGTAGGGAATAGATATCATTGCTTATATTATAGAGAAAATAGCAAAAGGTTTACAGAATTCCTATAGAAATTTTCTGGTTGTTGGACCAATGAAAGATGAAAGGAAAGTGATGTGACTTGGTTGTACTGCTATAATTTATATTGTCATTATCACCCACCGCAACATCTTTTAGAACCTGGTAACCTTGGCCTTCCTAGAAACTTGGGGTCTAAAAGAAACTTGAAGCCTATATTCATTCTTTCTCTCTCTCTCTTTTTTGGTGGTACTGGGAATTGAATTCAGGGCCTCATGATGCTAGACAAGCACTCCCCCACCAAGCAATTTCCCGAGCCCTTAGATGTATTTTTATCTTAAAGACCTTTGGTGATGATCAATTTAAGACCAAATGGTGAGGTTAGTTTAGCACCACAAGAGTTGCACAAGTCCTTTTTTTTTTCAGTATTAATACTGGAAAATAACTGGTTCCTAATCTTACATAAAGTACCAAAATTTATAAATCATTTGTGTTTTCTTTTCTTTTTGGTGGTACCAGGAATCGAACTCTCGACCTTGCACTTGCCAGGCAGGCGCTTATGCCGCTGAGCTAAATCCCCAACCCCTTAATTTTTAAAAATACCACATCTTTTTCATCTGTTCCTCGGTTAATGGGTATATGGGTTGTTTCCAAGACTTAGCTATTACAAATTGTGCTGCTATAAACATGGATACCTAAATACAGCTGTGGTATGATATTTTCATTTCTTCTGGGAAGATACCCAGAAGGGGAATAGCTGGTAAATGGAACCTCTAATCCTAGTTTTTTGAGAAATCTCCACACTGATTTCCACTGTAGTTGCACCAGTCTACACTCCCACTCCCACCAATGGGTACCCCACCCCAACATTTGTTATTGGTTAATTTCTTTTTTTTTTTTTTTTTTTGGTCTTTCATTTTTTTATTGGTACTGGGGATTGAATTTACGACTGCCTGCTTGCCAGGCAGGTGCTTATGCCGCTGAGCTAAATCCCCAGCCCCTATTGGTTAATTTCTAGATGATAGCCATTCTTACTGGGTTGTTGTTTTTATTTTTTTATTTTTTTGAGACAGGTTCAAAAGGAAAATAACTCTCTATTCAGTTCAGGCTGGCCTTGAACTCACTTTGTAGCCCAGGTTGGTCTTGAATTCTCAACGATCCTCCTCCTGCCTCAGCCTCCCGAGTGCTGGGATTACAGGCATGAGCCACCACACCCGGTTGTGCTTTTTGTAAACTGAATTAGGAGAAATTCAAGGTTTTTCCTATATTACTTGAATTTGCACTCCAGTGTTGTTTTTTAGAGAAGAGAAAAACAGTAGAATTATAAGTAGTTTGATAGTAATTATGCATAACTTTGGTTATACCCATTAGGATCGGAACCTCTTTTCTGTCTTGGTAGAAAAAGTATATAGACTCACTGACAAATTGTGCCTTAGTTATGAGAGTTAGAAGATAAAAGTTTAAAAGGTGGGCTTGATTTTTTCATATGCTTTGATTTCTTCCCGTGTAAAATAAAAATAATAAGCAAATCCAATGAAAAAATGGTTGTAAAATTGACGAGTAAGTTCCTAAGACATTATAGGTACAGATAGTATCTTTGTGTCCTAGTACAAGTTCTTTAATTTCTCCCATGTTTTCTGTGTAAAATGGTCATGATGCCCATTCAACTGTTACTGGGTAGTCTCCTTAAAGTGACTCACCAAATAAATGTCACCAGGTTTTTTGTGCTCATACCTCCTTTAATTGGTAGATTCCAGGTTCTTCTCATATTGAATGAAATGAGAAAAAAATGGTGACAACATTTATTTGAAAAAGTAAAAGTGAAGTGTGAGAGAGAAACTAGCTCAACAGAGTGAGCTTGGGCTGATTAAAGTCAAGATAAAAGTATACTCTGAAGAATACAGGGCAGGCTGTCCTGAGGAAAGCCACCATATTGAGCTCCTTCTTGACATCTGTGTCATGTGTGTGTGTGTGTGTGTGCGTGTGTGTGTGTGCGCGCGCGCGTGCGTGTGTGTGCGCGCGTGCGTGTGCGTGTGTGTGTGTGTGTTTGTGTGTGTGTGTGTGTGTGTGTGTGTGTGTGTGTGTGTGTGTGTGTGTTTGAGACAAGGTAGTTCAGGCCAGCCTTCAACGCACTTTGTAGCCCAGGCTGGTCTCAAGCTTGCAGCATCCTCCCGCCTCAGCCTCTCAAATGCTGGGATTACAGGCATGTGCCAGCTTGCCTGGCAATATCTATGTCCTTTTATGCCCTCAAATCTTGAGGGAACCCAAGGCCTTCTACATAAGTGTCCTGAGAGACTGAGAGGTAGTGCCTCTCCCTACCAAGGGATCTTGGGCACTACCAAGATCCCATACCCCTCTTCATAGCCAGTCTAAGTCACTTCCTATTCCCAGTTGTGACCCTTTAGAATGACTTCAAACTTAAATAAGATAATATCTATAAAATCACTTGAAGCTCTTTGGTCCTTAATTTTATCTCAACTCTGTCAGAAGAAATGTCAGTCTATTTTCTTATTGATGATCACTGGAACTACTTATAGTTTGGAGCTGTTTACTTTGAATATTTTTGTACAAGTGTTTTTGTGGACAGACATTTTTGTTTTACTGGGTGACATCATAGGAGTGAAATTGCTAAGTCAATGTTTGGTTTTAAAGAAATTGTTTGGTTTTAAAGAAATTGCCAGACTTTATTTCAAAGTAGTTATGCTGTTTTATATTCTAACAAAATATGAGGGCTTCCCTTGCTCTATTCTCTCTGCAACATTGGTATCACTCTTTTTTTTTATTTTAATTTTGACACAGGAACTTTACTAGTTGCTAAATTACTCGGGCTAAGCTGGATTTTATGATCTTCCTGCCTCAGCCTGCCAGAGTACTAGAATTATAATCATGTGCTACCATGCCTGGCTTGGTATTAGTCTTTTTAATATTAACCATTCTGCCTTTCAGCTGGGTGTGGATAGGAATCTGTTTGTGGTTTATCACCCATTTTTGTATAAAGGCTTCAGTTTTTATTTTTTTCTACTACTGGAGGTTGAACCTGGGGTTTTGTTAGTGGACTACATCTACAGCTCTTTCTATTTTATAACTGTTTTTGTTTGTTTGTTTGTTTGTTTGTTTTGAGACAGAGTCTCACAATGTGGTCCAGGCTGGCTGGCCTTGAACTTGTGACAGTCCTCCTGCCTCAGCCTCCCACATACTGGGATCACAGGCATGTACCACCATGCATAATTCATTTTATTTTATTTTTTTACTTTGATCTTTCGAGATCTTTTGGTCTCACTATGTAGCACTGGCCTTGAACTCATAGCAGTTCTCCTCCTTTAGCCTTGTGGGTGTTGGGATTACACACATGAACCACCAGCCCTAGCTCAGTTTTTTATTTTGAGACAGGGTCTCATTACACTGCCCAGCCTGGGCTGAAATGAGTCACCCTTTGCCTCAGTCTTCCACAGTGCAGGGATTGCAAAAGTGTATCACCTTACTTGGCTAAAGCTTCCCTTTCTATACCGAAAACTTGTCAGATTACCGTAGTTCAAGCACTCCAGAAGGCTGAGGCAGAAGGATCATACATTCAAGGCTTAGGACACAACATGAGCCCATTTCTTAGTGAACAGTATTGTGGGTAGCGTGAAATCTAGCAAGACCACTGCTGTTCGGAATGTGAATCTGCCCTTTGCACAGGTTCACACTCTCGGTCATCCTCATAGTGGCTGTTTTCCATGTAAAAGGTAGAGGTTAGCTTTATGGCATATAAAATCACACGGCTATTACTAATTGAGCACCTAAGTCATGCTGAAGCCTTGCTAAACAAAAGAAATAAAATGGGCTGAACTTACAGAA